CTTCTGCCAAAGGGAGACCTGACCATTAGCATTTTGTTCTTAACCTTTTCTATCCATGAATTTCATCCATAATGAGCTGGTTGATAGATGTGATCCTGCATTTTGGTCCCATTAGACCCCCTCCTTTTGAGGGGTTCCTGGGTTTTCTGCATTCTGTAGCTTTTCATCAGTGACTGTCATTTTTGCAGAGTCACAGGACATTCACTGGCGTTTGACACAAAGTGGTGAGAGATGTTCCTCATTGGTAAATAACTCCTCTGGGGTTGGATGCCTCACTTTCCCCTTGCAAGACACACAGGGAGCCTCAGTTAGAAAGTGGGATTCTCTTGCTAGGGGGGCTCAGCAGAACCAGTGAATAATGCAGCAGGAGTTTGCATAAGGCAGCAGCAAACGCGCTGCTGTAGCTCAGCAGCCCGAGGGCACCGCTTTTGTTGTGATCACAGCAGGTTTCCAGTGATGTGTGCACAAAGGAGAAGCAGAGAATGAACAGAAAGTAGTTGATGGCTTTCTTCAAAGGCACTTTGCTAACTCAAAAATATAAGCCTTGTGGTTTATATGGTTTTGAAATGTAACCGCAGATACTGAGAACTGGAAAACACTTGATGTACCATCTCCTCCAGTTTTGGTGCCAGATGCAGGGCGGGGAAATGGGTCTTCAGAATGAAAAATGTCCAAAGGAAATAAGTTCATGTTAAAATTTTTTAACCAGGAGCATACTGTTTGGAGAAACTGTCAGATGAAGAATCGTTGGATCCCAGACTAGTTGGTGTTGAAGGGACCTTAAAACTCACCCAGCTCCAGCCACTGCCACGGGCAGGGACCCCTTCTACTGGAGCAGCTTGCTCCAAGCCCCTGTGTCCAACCTGGCCTTGAACACTGCCAGGGATGGGGCAGCCACAGCTTCTCTGGGCACCCTGTGCCAGCGCCTCAGCACCCTCACAGGGAAGAGCTTCTGCCTAAGAGCTCAGCTCAGTCTCCCCTCGAGCAGGTTCAAGCCATTCCCCTTGGCCTGTCCCTACAGGCCCTTGTCCAATGCCCTTATCTAAGTCCTTCTCCAAGAAGTCTACATCATTTATGTCTTGATGGAGTGGGTGCAGATGGGCATTTCTGAGAGCTCCTCCAAAGTGCTGTAGCCTTGTTTTTGTCAAGCTTTGTGTAATTTTTTATGGTCTGCAACCCCTGTTTTGATCAGTGTCAAACTGAGCACTTTCTCTTCCACCTTGACCCAGGGACTCAATGGGATTAGCTGCCTTGGGCGTAGTCTTGGCCTCTCCAGCATGGTAGACCTGGCCACCCTTGGCTGCTGTCAGACGAGGGCAATCGGAGCTGGTGCTTTCCTACTTGCCCTGCTGCTTTTTGTGCAGTTTTACATGGCCCCATCCTAGTTCTGTTTGCTTTGCTCACTGAATGGCCCTTACTCACAGCTGGACACCTCAGTGTGCAGGAGTCTGCAGAACCGAACGTTTCTCTAGAAGTGGAGATTTTGGGTGTTCCTGGTGTGACACATGAAGGTGTTTTTCTGGCCTCCATGACCTAGCCTTGCATTTACAGGCACTGTTCTGTTGCTGATTTAATACATGTAACTTATCACCACTGCTTGCTCCTAATACAGTGTCAGAGGTTGCTCCAGAATATTCTCGTTCTTGTCCTCTGAGTTGAGCCCAGATGCACTTGTGGTTCAGTTGTGACCATTTTGAGGGGGTCACTTTGCTTTGTGTTTTCTTGCCATGTATTTCTTCCTCTTTCCCTTTTGTGTTGAGTAATCATGTGCTCTCCAGATTTGTTCTGGAAGGCTTATGAAACTCCATGTAGGGTCCAGTCATTTATTTTTGTATACCCTGGCAATAGTTTTGTGCTGCTTCTCTGGTTCCTTCTCAGGGGTGGATGAGCAGGAATCTGTCTGGTATTCCAGCTGGAACGTAGCAGTGCTGTTGCTGCTTCATTATCTATGCCAAAGACACTCGTTTTTCACTCCTTAAGGATCCAGAAGAGCTGTGATGAGGCCAGAAGACCTCTTTGTCTCTCTTTTGGGAGACAAAGAGGTCCTGGAGGAGAAAGATGGATTGTTCATTTCTTTCAGGAGCCAAAATGATGTGCACCTTCACACTGATGTCTGCTGTTCTGACTGAAGGGTAGCTAGATACAATAACCCAAGATCCAACGTGAACTGCAATGTCTTTCCACTCTGGTGGGACTAGGCTGAAACATAATGTTGCTTTGTTGTCTCATATATGTTTGGCTCTAGGAGTGACTGGTTGTTATGTTAGCCTCTGACTGCCCTTCACCCTTAGGTACCTACAAGGCTTTACCAGGTAAGGAGGTAACAGGGTGCCCAGAGAAGCTGTGGCTGCCCCATCGCTGGCAGTGTTCAAGTTGGACACAGGGGCTTGGAGCAAGCTGCTCTAGTGGAAGGGGTCCCTGCCCATGGCAGGGGTTGGAGCTGGAGGAGCTTTAAGTTCCCTTCCAACCCAAACCAGTCTGGGATTCTGTGATTCTGTGATACAGTGCTGTTCTGACACCTGAGTACTGCAGTTAGTATTTCAGTGATTTCTCTCTGTTCAGTCCCAGTTCTGGAGCACTGAGTGGGAGCTGACTCTTTCTTATGCATGGAGAACATAGAGAACATCTGGTCTCTGAACAGAGAGCAAAACGTTTTTGACAGATGATGCCAGAAGACGGGTGGTTGCCATCCCCATGGTTGACCTTCTCTTGCTGCAGGGCTCTGCAGCACCCTGAGATGTGGTGTGGATGTAACTACCCAGTGAGTGTGTTCCTTTCCAGAGCTGGGGAGGGCGAAGGTGGTTTTCTCCTGACCCGTGCTTGCCCTGTGGCATGCTGGCAACATGCTGAGTCCTTTCAAATTGGCTTGAGAGATGGTTGCCATGTGTCTGTGTATTGAAAAACCTGAGATCACATTTCTGTGACAGGGAGGTGAGGTAGAGAAAAAGTCACGTAAGAAAAGGGCTTGTTTTTTTGCTTGAGGTTTAGAAAGCTTTTTAACAAGTTGAATTATTGGCTGGATCTGGAGCAAACCACTGCTTTCCTAACTGCTCTCATTTCCTGTATCATTCCAGCTTGGTCACTGCATTAATTACAGCTCAGATTTACAGTGTATTTGGTTACACACTGGGCTGCAGGCTCCTTTTTTTCCTGTGTGTGTATAAATTTATTTGGGAGCCAGGCCAAGAGGAGGGGGGATGTGTGTATATATATATGCATATATATATATATCTGCATGTGCATTCACACATGGGCTGAATTTGATGTTTAGTCACTAATTTTGTGGAGAGGAGAGATCTGGATTTTCTGCTGTTTTGTTGTAAAAAGAGACTTTTCCAAGGAGCTGCAGTAGCAGGAACAGGGGTGTTTGGAGAGTTCAGGATTTCAGAACAACCAGAGATGAGAGAAAATAATATCTTCTGAATTGTAAATGTGGCACTTTTAATTTGGCTGCTGTCTCCCAGAGGTTCTGGGTAAGGGGAACACTGTTGTGCTCTTGGCTCGACCAGCAATCGTCTTGCTACTGGAACTAGTTCATAAACTCCGTGCTTCAGTGCGGGATTGGGTGAGGTGGAGCTTTTCTCAGTTGAAGTAGCTTTTTGTGACCTGAAATATGAAGTGAGAGAGGAGACTCAGCAAGAAATCTGCCACTTGGAAATGAGCTATTTAGGAACCGTAGAATGCAGAAGGTGATTGAAAGGGTGTTTCCATTTCAGTTGAATGTTTTTCTTTTGGCTTTATGAAAATATAAGAGGAGATGCTCACTGAATACACGGGGGGTGTTTCTGGAGAACTCATTCATACTTCTAAATTCATTCTTCACATTTAAACTGTTGATGCAGTAGAAGATTTTTCATTCAGAACATTCTGAGTCATGGTTTCGTAAGTAAATGATTGGGAAATAAATAGAAACAGATATCAAAATTCTTACTGCTTTTAAAATGAAATATCCAAAAATATTTGGTTCAGAAATAGTGGTATGATGAATAATACTGGTATGAATTAGAACAGATCATAGAATCATTGAATCCGAGGCTGGTTTGGGTTGAAGGGACATTAAGGCTTATCCAGTTCCAGTCCCCTAACACAGGCAGGGACACCAAGCCCCTGTGTCCAACCTGGCCTTGAACACTGCCAGGGATGGGGCAGCCACAGCTTCTCTGGGCACCCTGTGCCAGCGCCTCAGCACCCTCACAGGGAAGAGCTTCTGCCTAAGAGCTCAGCTCAGTCTCCCCTCAGGCAGGTTCAAGCCATTCCCCTTGGCCTGTCCCTACAGGCAAGAGACAAATTCCAAATCACATCCTTTTAAATAATTGATTGCTATTTTTCAGCCTTGCCACTAATCCCAGCCACATTTCATGTTTCCCCTTCCTCAGAGCACATCTGACCCGGACTGCTCCCAGCCCCCTGGCTGGCCTGGCTGGGCTCACACACACACTGCCAAGCACCTAGAGCCCGAGCTTCCCGAATTCACCCACTTGCATCTTCTATCCACAGCTTGTGGTGAGGTTAAACACTTAGAGCCATTTCATTACAAATTAGTGTGTTGATAATCCTTTCCAACCTGTGCAAGATGCTTCCTCTTCAAGGACCATTTTGGTTTGATATTAACAGAGGAAGGAATGTGTTGGGTGCAGCAAACTGTTGTTCATGCACCAGTACAACTTTTCAGTATTGGAGCCCATGCGGGTGTTTAGTTAAAGTTGATGTCTGTTATTTTGTGAGGGTTTCAGAGTGAGGATTTTAGCACTTTAATCCTGAGTGACAGTTGGAAGGGTGGTGGTTTCAAACACAGTGGCATGGAGTAGCTGATTTCTCCTGGGTGGAACAATGCCCCAGTGTGTCTGGGCTGCCTGTACAGAGCCAATAAATCTGTTTTGTTTTGTTTTTCTCCCCCCTTTTTCCCTCTCTCCCTCCCTCCTCCAGGCCGGGACCCACTGCTATTGCTGAAAGCCCTTCAGCTCCTCTGGACAAAGAATGAGATGGAGAAGGTAAGGCTGAGCCGGCCCTTCACGCTGCAGTTAATAACTGCATGCAGAGCATGTCCAGACGCAGAACGCTTAGGTCAGACCTGCAATTCTTCATGATCGCTTTCAGTTCCAGCACACAGGGGAAGAGCTTTTGCATTTGCAGCAACAAGTGAAAAGAAAAGGTAGCTCTGTGTGATGTGAAGCAGCTCGGGCTCATAGAAAAGAGCTGAAGTTTACGGAGCTGCCTTACAGAGCAGGGGAGAAAAAAATCAAAGTTGCTTTTGTTTTCTTTTAAACACTTTTGTTGTCCATTAAATGGAGGATCTGTGGGGGAGGGGAGGAATATTTCTAGTAGCTGAAAAAATTAGGGTTGAAGTCCATAGAAAAGTGCTCTTTGCCAGGTAGAATGATATCAAAGCCTTCATAGTCAAAGTGTTTTTCCCGTTTTCTCTGATTCGGTTTGGGTTTGCCATTTAGAGTGGTGAATGCCATTTACACTCCCTAAAATCAGTGCTGTCTTTTGATACAGCACCCTATGGGCTCTACTGGCAATTTCTCATAGGGAGTAAAATATACTTAATCTAAATTTGGGAGCTTGAAAACTAACACAAGCAGTGGATCTATCAGCTCAGTGGGGAGTTTCCCATGTTTAACCCTGCATTGTCCAGGCAGGTTCTGAGCAGAAACGGTTTCCTAGAAGACCCCAGACCTGCAGCTCACCACAGAACTGTGTGGAATGTGTCTTGTGTGGCTGAGTACCTTGGAGTACGTGCTCCATCCTAGGTGTCTGGAGTGTTTAGTCATTCTCTTTGTGTGCCACACTTAGACTTTGCATTACTGGTAGTCTGTGGCTCCCAGCTGGAATGATTGAACAACTGGAAACACAGTGCAAGAGGTGCTTTTCTAAATGGTCCATCACAGACATAGGCTTGAGCTCAGCAACTCTGAAGCCTTTCTGTCAAGTTATATTAGAGTTAGAGGAAAAAAATACTGTCAGGCCTTGAGGGCTGTTTATGCCACAGAACAGCAGTGGGAAAGAGGAATCATCACAGTCTCTGCACTGCAATCCCCAGGATGTGTGTGGATTGCGAAGGAAAATACCCTGAAAAGACAGAGCCTCTCGCTGAGGTGTCCTTGGGCAGGAGCACCACAGCTTCCCTGCTGAGGGTGGAAGAGCTTGAGGAACCCCATGAGTAACACTCACATGTTTGGTTTGTTTCGGGAATGGTTATCCCAGTGGGATGTGTGGGTCTGCAGAGCACGGGCTGCAGCTCCTCAGTGCCTGGCCCCCTCGGCCCGCCCTTCAGGGCATGGCCAAGAGCGTGTATCTGTGCCTGGAGGATGTGTTTCTGAACCACAGGGAAAGCAAGAGGGGGGCTGTGGTGGAGCCAGGCGGTGGCATAGCAGCAGCTGCCCCCAGGGTAGGGAGCACAGCACGAACATCCCCAGTGTTACTGACACTGAGATGGGCTCATCCATGCTCAGGTCATCACCACCCTTCAGAGAAGCCCTCCACCTGCAGCAAGCATAAACACCTTGTTCAGAGGCAGCTGGTGCGCTGCCCTCTGAGCTGCTGCTTACATCATGGAATCATGGGATGGTTTGGGTTGGAAGGGACCTTAATGCCCATCCAGTGTCAACCCCCTGCCATGGGCAGGGACACCTTCCACTAGAGCAGCTTGCTCCAACCCCATCTAGCCTGGCCTTGAACACTTCCAACTGGGTGGTTCAAATAAATGGAGGGAAGTTGCCTTAAGCACACCTCAGTCTGCTGCATTGCCACTGAAAGGGCAGGGAGCTTCTCTGCCTTGGCTGGGTGTGAATGTCAGTCAATGCTGTCTATCCACTAGTGTCAGTCAGCCAGCCCACTGGCCTCAGATCAGTGACCATGAGCAGAAGGAACACATCTAACCTCAGTTCGGGAACGTAGCTATGAGAAGCCATCATTTCCTCCATAGAAAGGGCAGGTTTGGAATAACCAAGAAGCATCAACAGACTGCCCAGTTCTGTGTCACTAGAAATAAGGGACCAGAACTGAATGAAGGATGATGTAGTTTGGGCATCAGCAAAATTTTCCTATTCCCATGATCTGTCAGGCTGTAAAAATCCCCCAAGGAGCATTCCCTGCCATGGGAATCAATTGAAATGGAAATGGCAATTACATGTTTGAGAGGAATCCTTCTCTGGCAGAGATGCAGGCAGGCAGCACAGCACTCTTTCCTCACTCGTTTAAGTGTCTCATTCCTTTTTCACTTTGCTTCCTCCTGCCCAAACTATCCAGACCATAGCTGAAGCCTTCAGATCGCTTGGAAGTGTTGAAGAAGGCTTTTCCCTGCTTGACAAAGTCTAGCTGGTATGAAGTCAAGGCTCGGTGTAGATAACAGCAGTCAATGCTCCCAGGCAGTTGTGTAAGTGCTGGCTCACTCATGCTCTTGCAGGAGCTGGTGTCTGCTAGAGCCCATCCTGCCAAAGCCTGGGCTCAAGCCCAAGGAGGAGCTGAGCAGTGTGGTGAAAGCTCTTGTTCAGTCTCAATGTGCTGAAGTGGGGCTTGAGGTGAGGGGGGAGAGAAGAGAAGCTATTTAGAAACAGTGCTATTTAGTTGGTGAGTTGCTCTGTTTTCCCTTGGCTGTTGCATTGGATATTTGTGGTTGAATAAGAGCTTGCCTTTCCCTTCTGCTGAATCTTGCAGTGAAGTTGGAGCCCTGTGTTTAACATCACAAATTCTTGCCACAGGGAAAAATACTTACAGGGAGAAATGTGTTATCTGAAGTCCCATCTCTGTTAGTCATCAGCTTTTTCATACTGCTTTTGATAATCTAGTGAGAAAGAAGCAGCGTCTGTCGTAAACGATGGGGTTTGTGGTTTTTCCAGACATGAAGGACACTATGGAAAAGAGCTGCCTTCCAGTAAATAATGTCCATGAATAAAATAGAACAAATTCATTGGCAAATTTTCTGTAGGTTTTCTTTTGTTTTCCATGTTCTCCAAAAGTTGTTTCCATTGGAAGCTGCGACTGGGGCCATGCACAGTAAATTACAAGTGCTGGCTGCTGGCGGGAATGAGCATCTTTGGGATTTCGCTTTTTTGCCAGAAAAGAAAGAGAGCAGCTGCTCGTAGTGATTTCTTGTTTTCTGTCTCTGCTTTTGCCTTGCTCCACGCCAGTACATGTACCATGCAGTGAAAGGTGCTGTGTGGGGACCAGAGGATGCCACTTCTTCACCCTGCCAACCCCCCAAGCTCCCTGGAAACTACTTCTAATGTAAACATTATCAAGATATTGCTCCGTACTGCTAATTTATCACTTCTACCAGATGGGTAGTAAGTAGCCTATTAACATTCACAAAGTGAGTGGCCAATTCCTTCACATTTCTAAACACATCACCCCGGGATTCCTAAGATTTATGGCCTGGAGTTTTCCCATGTTCCGAGCCGCTGTGTACGGCCTTTAGACTCCTGGAGGAGGGCAGTGCCTGGTGCGCAGGGGCATGGGGCAGGCAGCAGAAAGTACCCTGCTCAGGTAGCTTTGGAGGGAAAGAGCAGGATTTGCAGGATGGCAGAGTTCAAACTCTGGTATTTCAGAGAACCAGAGAATCATTTCTTTCCTTTTAGTCTTGTGTGTAAAATCCAACTATTTCAATACTCACCAGTTTTCCTGTTCCGGTGAGGAGTGTTATTGCATCGTGGCTGAAGTGGGTGTAAGGTCAAATATGAAAGTTTGCGGTACAGAAGTGAGGCAGAGGGGTTTATGTGCTTTATTGGTTGTAGGTCTGTTAGAAGATGAGCAGGTTTTGAGCTGGGTTATCTACCTTCAGTATTGCCGTTTTCCCAGTAACACCCCTTTCTCCAGCTCCCTTCTTTTCTCCCCCTCCCCCAAATTCCAAGCCCCTTTGTCTGCCCCATGGAACAACTTCTCTGTCTTTATGGGATAATTAGTGTGGACAATTGCTGCTTTTCCCATTGGGTTTGAGGTGCAGTGAGCCATGAAGGAATCTGTAATGACATGAAAAGTCACTGGAGGCGCGGATGGTGGCTGAATAGCAACAGTTACCTCTCTGAATAGATTAAATTAAAAAAAATAAAGCTTTGTGTTGGGCTGGGGGCAGGGAGGATTCACTAATCTCTTTGTACGTGACAATGCGGGTTTGTATCTCAGCAGCTCAAGGAAGAAGTCAGGCGGGGCTTCGCAGGACTGCAGGACCCATTGGCAGGACTCCTGGACATGCTGGAGGGCAGCGGTGATTGGAAGGGGAAGGGGCATTCCCTCGGGTATTACATCACCACAGAGCTGCAGCTTTGGATAAAAGAGCATCCTGCTGCTCAACAGGTTAGAAAAAGAGAGAGCAAGAGAGCCAGGAGAAAGGGGAGGAGAATTGATTTTCATATCCCTCAAGTGTCCCCAGTTTCACTTTATCCCATGGTCTGATGTCTCATGCATCCACATGTCCATACATCCATCTCATACATCCTGGTGTCTCATACAACCACGGTGTGAGGAGGTGTGAAATTCATACTGAGATGTTATCTGTCGTATGCTGGCCTGAAAACAAAATAGCATTGGAAGCTGTGTCGCCTTCCAAGCTGGGTTTTCCATCTTTTCAGATCAAACCACTTTGATCGAGCGTTGGTCTCTCTGCCTTTGCTGGGCTGGAGGCTTTCCCACTGGAACTCCCATCCCTGCTGTCAGGATAAAACCAATTGCAGTAACCCACTCTGTATGTTCTTCCAGTTCTGCAAATAGAAGCCAGTTACTGTAGGATTGCTTAACTCCTGCCATATGCTGGGGATCTTTTATCATGTGGAATGCAGAAAATGGAGCAGTAATGGCTTTTCAGCAGCTGAATGATTAGCTTTGTAACGTTGTGTCATCAGATTGTACCTCCCAATGTTTACGATTCCTTATGCCTTCATGTACTGTGTCCTACTGAGATTTTCCCTTTTTTATATGCTTCTGACTCTGAACTGCAAAGATACTTCTATATTTGTGTTGTTTCAGTTCCCATTTTTCCAAATGGCTCCTTTTAGATGCTGAGCTCTGCCCTTGAAAGTATCTGCAGAGTGAAGTGCCAGTGGCACTGCAATTCCTGTGTCCTAAGAGAATGGTCGCGTAGGCATACAACGATTAATACTTGTATCTGTGCGTCTTTTGACGATGCTTTGCTTTTCCTGCCCTTCTTGCTCCCAGGAGCAAGCCTGGCAATGAAAATTGAATTCCTGTGCCTGATAGGTGAGATCTCCCTTGAGGGGAGGTGTTGGATTCAAGCATTTTCTGCTGGGAACAAGAGGGGAAGGTTTCTGCAGAGCTGTGTTAGTAAAGGAGGCATTTTTCCATTTCATATTCTACTTTTGGACAAGGCCATGTGCCTTGTCCAGAATTATCCTGCACACATTTCATGATTTTAAATTGGATGCTGTGAAAAAAATGTGGATCATATTGTTCTGATTTCTGCTTGCAGACTCCATGGGGAAATTGGAGAATCCCTTCCCAAGGAATTGGCTTATTCCCCTGTTTAAACAAGCTGCGTTTTCAACTGCCATTGAATTGTAGCCATCTCTATTAAATCTGTCTTTGATTTGCTTTTATTATTATCATCTTTTCCAGTCTGGCATCAAGCTGAAGAAGCTGCAGGCCCGTGTGCTGGGAGTACTAGCCCAGTGCCCAGCTAATCTTCTTGACCCTTTGATTAGCATTTACCAGCTCCATACAGCAGACCGGAACTATTTGCTTGGACATGTCAGTCATCTTTATCACAAGGGCGATTACAAAGAGGTGGGTCATGTCTTTCAAACGCATTTACCTTCCCAGCTCCCCAGTTCTCTGTTAATGTCTGTGTCCTTCTTTTTTGGATGCATTTCAATGTGAATTCCGTTCCATGGCAGCAGCTGCACACTGTGAATGGTGCGGCTCAGCCTGGTCTTCCATGGACAGGAGCAGGCTGTGTTCAACCTCGGTTTTACTAATGGCTGAGTACAGAATACCAGTGAATCCTTCCCTCAGCCCTTTTTTGACCTTTGAAAGTAATAGGTGGATAGGGTTTCATTTGGAGAATTTAAGGGGATGGTTGTGTTCTCTTGTTTTCCTTCTCCTTGGCATGAAGGAAAAGGGATTTTAGTAGTTGGTGGCAGACCTGCTGTGCTACCTGCAGCCTGCCTGCAGCAAGGAGGGGTTGGGAAATCTCTGTTCCCACAGGATTACCCTAACCAAAGTGGTCCCAGTTTGAGGAGTTTTGAAGCCTCTCTACCATTGATGCTTGTATTCACAACGTGTTAGTACTCATGGATTTGAATTCGGGTGGCTGACGCTAGCAGGAGTTCACCCAACCATGAATTTGATATGTTTTACCCTGTGGTTTAGAGTGCTTGTAGAGTATTTGCATCACCTCTGGCATCACTGGGATATCTTGGAACCTTGCAGGTGTTTCCATGAGTAAGCTACAATACTGTTAATGCCTGGGTTTTTTTAAGGCAAAAGACATATGTTTATTCATCTCAGAGGAAGATGGTTCACTCTTCTGGTGCAGAGCAGCTTGATCTTGCTTAGCAAAAGAAGCAATTCAATAGCATTTCAAAATGTTCTTCAGTGAAGCTGAATTCCTAAGGGAAACTGTGGAATTTCTTTCTTGTTGATTTATTTGAATAATGAAACAAGGATGTTTCGTATGTGATTAGATGTTCCCAGGTAGCTGCTTGAAACTTAACCTTTTACTCAATGAGGTTCTGAACGTGCTTGAAAATCCTGACAGAAACACATTGACTGTACTTGTGTGATCTTTAAGTTCATGGCTCAAAGATATGTGTTGTTTTCATTAGAAATGCAGTTCTTTCTAGATCTGGTTTTGGACAGCTCTGAATTATTTGTATGTGTAGAATTGTTTTTCTGTTCCTTCTTCCACAGAAAAGCTCATTTACTGCTCATTCCCAGTGTGAAGAACAGGAAACCTCAACTGTTGCCTACCCTCAGCCATAACTTTCTTCTGCTTTTGTTTTGTTGCCAGAAGGATGAATAGAATTATCTTCAAGAATAACAGGAAATCTTTTACTGCGCTTGGGGACTGATCTTACCTAATTTCACAGCAACTGCCCCAGAAACCCTGGAAGTAAGGCTTGGAGCACTTGCAGTGGGCTGTTCTGCAGCACATCTGTTCGTGCCGCTGTTTCCCATCTTTTAGATGGGGCAATAAGGCAGATTCACATGTAGGAATTTTGGCTCTTCTGTCTCTCACCTGAAAGGACAGAAATCCTTACAAGTCCTTGCTGTCAGTATTTAATTCCTTGCTCTGTTTACAATAAGACACTAGTCATCTATGCCACAGTGCGTTATCCCCTTCGCTGCTTTGATGTATTTCCTACTGTGGTGTGCAAACCATAGTTCCCAGCTCTGCCCTGTGGGTTAAGGCTCCTTTCCCTCACAGAGGTTTTGCAGGAAGATCTCTTCAGAAAATGAGATCTCAGAGATCCCTGGGAGCATTCATGGTGGTCAGTTGTTCCTGAAGCACATCCAGCGCTCACTGTGTGCCCTGTTCTGCTAGAGCTGGTCAAAGGCTGAGATGGTTTATGAATCAGGGGTGCCCCATCCCTAGCAGGGTTCAAGGTAAGGTTAGACACAGGGGCTTGGAGCAAGCTGCTCTAGTGGAAGGTGTCCCTGCCCATGGCAGGGCTTGGAACTGGATGATCTTTGAGGTCCCTTCCAGCACAAACCAGTCTGGGATTCTGGGATTCTGCTTGCAGTGGCCGGGGGTTTGCTGTGGGCTGCTGGAGTGCCACAGGCTGGGGCAGAGCACTGCTCCTTGATGGAAGACGGTGCAGGTGGAGGTAGCTTCTTTCTGACTTACCAGTGTAACTGAAACAGTAGCTGTGGTGAGGAGACACCAGATGAGAGCACTGGCCAGCGGATGGCACTGGTGCTCCCATGCTGCGGGAAACCAGATTGATGCAGTGAGAGTTAAAGGAAAAAGCAGGGACGTGTAAGTGGGGTTTCAAGGTGTCTGGCCCATGAAGGCATTTGGGGGTTTTATCCATTTCTTTGTGAATGGTGTTTGCAGCTGTAGGAGGATCATGGCAGCTCCTGGCCTTGAGGGGCTCCGGGCTCTGCTCTTAATGGCCCACATGGCATGAAGACACCAAAGGGTTTTCCATTCCCGCTCGGGTGGCTCCAGGTGAACTGTGGCACTTTGTCCCCTGCCCTGCAGCCCCTAGGCCAGGCCATGGGTGCACCCTGCCCTCCACCCCGGCTGTCCTTCCAGCCCGCTCTGTGGGGCAGGCGATGGCTGCTGGTGGGGCCGGGACAATGTGGGGATTCAGCAGACCGGGGGTAATGCAGTGCGAGCGAGTCTGAGAGAGGCCCTGAATAGGCCAGGCTGTGCTTGAGAAGAATGAGGGGTAGGCAGAAGGCAAGCTAGTGTTTCATGGTCATCTTATGTTACACTTCAGCCTTTCAAAGAGTGTCTGGGGCTGGTTGAATGAACCTCTCTTGCGCTGCGAATGCGGGAGCCTAAAGACAAAGGGAACTCTTGTCACTCGCAGGCCCCTTTTGGGAATAAAAGCCATTGTCACATGAACAGGGGCAGTCTGGCAGGCTGTGCATGCTTCAGTGCCCCATGATATCGCTGCGTCTCAGCAGAAATCACATTCAGGGCCCTGTCAGCTTTGATTAGCGGGGTCTCATGACTTAATGTGCTGCGATATTTCATGTCTAAGGGTGGCGGCTGTCTTTCTGTGGGATGAATGCCCTCTATTGTCCACAGAGTTATTTTATTTACATTTTTTTAAACAGCTTATAAAGGTAAAAAGATAGCTGTGCTTAAAGAGCAACATCAAATTCCTGTGCTGCTGGAGCAGGAGCGAGCGCCGCTCGGGTCAGGGACAGCGAGCCTTGTTTCACAGTCAGCATCAACGTTCTCATCTTGTTTAACAGCTTTATAGTAAGTTCAGAACAGGTGGCAGCGGAGCCGGGTTTAGGAAGGAAACAATAAATAATCTTTTTAGCCTTTGACAACCAGGAATATTCCTGGGCCTGGGACCTCCCACTCCAAACTCTCTGTATCGTGACCAGCAGCATTTTCCTCCCCTTCAACAGTCTGGTTCTTAAACAAGAATCTTGGGCTGAGCTTTCAGTGGGATGGGGAGTATCTAATTTTTAATGTAGTTTTTGCTTGTTGTCCATCCAGATTACCCAAATTTCAAAAGCAGAGGTTCCTTTTCCCACTAATGCTTCATCCCTTCATTTCTACAAACAATGCACGTTGATTCTCTATGTTAAACTCAGTCAATGTCTGCTTTTTCAAGTAAGATAATGTGGATTACCTATTAAAATGCAGTTGTTAAAATTCATCATAAAGTAAGTTATGTACCCAGAGAAGAAGCTTTGTAGACACAGAATACAAGGGGTTTATCAGCAATAAATACAGAGGTAATTTGATAATTTAGTAAAAAGGATGCTTGACCAAAGAGTTAAAGGAACATCAAGATGCAAGGAGTAGAAATGCATAATCCAATCACCAACATGACCTTGGATTTTCAGTGTGGTGATGTTTTAAACACCGATTTAGAGATGTTGTTGTTTGTGGTGCTGCTTCATACATGGTGCTTGAGTGCACATGGGGCATTTTGGTAAGGCTGCCGATACAAATCAGTGTTCAGGTTCATTGAGCTCATGAATATACATTCAGATTTTGGCTTTCCTCATTCTGACTTTTGAGCTGTTCTCAGGCCAGGGAAAATAGGTCTGATGTTGCTTCTTTCCCCATTCACCACCTTATTTGCAGAGGCTTGTTCAACTCTTACTGTATTTGTGTGTGCATTTGAATTTCCTTGTTTCTTTCATATTGAGCATAATAATCGGTAAGAAACCCAAAGAAAACATTGCAGGGGATGTTTCTTATGTAAAGATGATGAGGTCAGTCTCACTCCTTTTTTCCTATTAACTTTATCTGCTGCTAAAGGACAGCTTTAGGGGCACGTTGCCTGCTCCAGAACAGAGGTAGCCAACCTGTGGCTACGGACCACTCTGTTGCCTGCTCCCAAACACTGTGTCTGCTGGAGCCAACTTGGCTGTGGGCATCTGTCTGGTGAAGTGGTTGGGGAGGAGCTTGGTGTTGCTGGAGAATCATAGTTCTGCTCCTCCTGCCAGCATTTCTGGGCTCTTGTCAAGCAGGGGGCTCTTGGAGAAGAGGTGTGAATGTGCAGCTAATGTAAAGCTATACAGAGGCTGGATCTGGAGGATCTGGTGAAGGTGGGTGGCCTGTGGGCAGAGGAAACTTGGGCAGTGCTCTGGAGGATGCACTGACCAGTTAAAGCAGGTTTAAAACTGCTTTCAATGACCTGAGGAAGGCAAATTATGGAAGTGTTTGTTTCAGTTCACTTTCCCTTCACCTGTGCACACGCAGGTCCCAGCCTGGGCTTTTACTTCTCTCCCTCTCCCTTAAATCCCTTAGATATGAGTAACCTGTGACTGCTTCATTTTGATGGTCTCCTTAAGAAATACGTTCTCTTGAAAGTGGACCTGGGAAATGTCATAGTTCTCATTTCTGAAGCTCTTCCTGAGGACAGCTGTGTATATCCTATGCTCTTTAAGCAGGAAGTAATTAAACATCTAACCTGATGTCATACACTGTGCAGTGATGCATTCTGAGAGTCTGAGCAAAGCTGATTAGCCACAAGGTTGAAATGAGTGATTCCAAAACACAGAACAGATGTTCCCAATGATTAATCCATGGTGTGCCTTTTACTCAGTTATTTCTACCATTATTCTGTATCTGGGCTTTGATCACT